ACACACACACACACACACACACACACACACACACACACACACACACAGTGATAGATAATTAACCAGTAAGCCCCCACAGGGAACATGATGTCATTCTGACAGCAGGCAGCTTGGAAGGAACACTGAGCTCAGCCTCCTTGTACTTAGTAATGTAACACAGGAAGGTGTTTTCCCCAGTGATCAGCAGAGAGGGAGAACCCTGCAGTCTGGGCTATGCCTGCCTATAGACATGGCTGACCCACTGTGGGGTTGCTCAGCCTGTGGGAGTACCCAAACTAGACAGACGGTCTGCTTTCTTGAAATATTACCAAGAATAGTTCAACAATGCCTACCCATCCCCACTCTATTCATTTAGTTTCTGGTGTTTTTACCCAAGAAGTACACAATATGGTTAAGCTAAACCTGTAGGTGAAACATGCATAATGGTTAATAAGAGAAGTTCTACCCTTCCTTTGGGAGTTAGTCTCTATCTTTCCTAGATTGATCAAGAAAAGCTGTTAGCTTTCCTGTGAGGTGTCCCTCCATGTTGCTAGCACAGAGAACCTTTTGAGTTAAATGAACTTAGAACTTATGTACTCTTCTAAAGCCTGGCAGTTTGAAACCCAGAAAGAGCACCGGAAAAGGGACTAGTAGGTCCACATTGTTGGCTTGATCTTGTTTGATCTTAGGTTAGTCACTTTCTCTGAGCTCCAGTTCCCTACCTCTAAAATGATGACTTTGGATTAGAGTCCTCTCCCCTCAGGGTCTTTTCTATCTCTGGACACCTGTAATTTCATGCCCAAAGTGAGGTAGCCAAGGCATAAAAAGCAAGCTCCAAGTGTTCTGTTATTGTTCTGAGTATAAGCAAAACAGATATCTTATTTAAATTCTTTTTTATTTATTTAGTGGTATTGAGGATATAACCCAAGGCCTCACATATGCTAAACACATACTGTACCACTGAACTACACCCCCAAATCTGAAGGAGACAATTTGAAGGCCCCTGGATCCTTGGGCCATAGCCTTGAGTTCCTTGCCTTGACACAATAAGACTGGCTGCTTGCTAGTCTATCATTCCCAATCTAGGGGGCTAGATATAACCTTCTAAAGTAGAGCTCAATGTAAAGAACATGGACTCTGGATCTCAATTGAAGCCCTAAGAATCACAAAAGATCCGTGTGCCCATGGACAAGCTATCTGTCTCGAACTCAGTCTACTTGTCTATAAAAGGGGAATGATAAAAATTCTAATTGTACCCTGGCAAGGTGGTTCAGCACTTGGCACCCAGCCTAATGACATGACTTTGATTCCTGAAACTCAGAGGGTGGAAAGAGAGAATGAGTCCCAGAAGTTGTCCTCTGACCTTCACATGTATGCACGCACACATACACACACACACAAAGTAGATTGTTTTAAAAATTAAAAATAATCTGCAATATTAATTCCTAGTGTTTGCTGTATTAAGAAAGACATAAAATGTCTAGCTTGGGCTTTCTTTAGTCAACAAACAGGATTTTTGTTTAGTTTAGATTGATTGTTATTACTTTTAATCATATGTAGGTATGTGCACCTATATGAATGTATCTTCAGAGGCCAGAGGCATCAGATACAGCTAGAGCTGGAATTACAGAGACCTTTGAATAAGCAATATTAGGCACTACCCAGCAGAGGATGTCATGTGTGACACCCCTGGGACACAAGGGAGCAAGCCTAGGAGAGGTCATACACTATTCTAGAACCGAGAAAAGCTAGTTGAGGTGCTGGAGAGATGGCGCAGAGGTTAAGAGCACTGGCTGCTTTTCCAGAGGACCTGGGTTCAATTTCTAGCATCCACATGGCAGCTCACAACTGTCTCTAACTACAAGATCAGACACTCCCACAAAGATGTGCATACCTGCAAACACCCATGCACATAAAATAAAAATAAATTTTAAAAAAGAAAAAAGTCAGTTGAGGAATCTCTACCACTCACCTGCCAGGGCTTCTATTTTATAATCTGACAGCCTGAACTGCTGAACTGCTGAATCTGAATTGTTGCCTGAATCCTAAGGTACCTCAGCCTTTCACACTGTACCTTTCTCTCCCCCAAAGGCGACTAGCTTTGGCAGTCTTCTTCAAACCAGGTGTTGGCACTTGTTTGTTGCAAGCAAAGCATGGGGCACAATTTACTTCCTCCCTCATCTCCTGCCAGCTGCCTTGCTCTGCCATCTTCCCATGGACACTCTGGTCTATCACTGGCCAGCTTTGGGCAGGTTCATCATCTCCCAGATCCCACACTCCACTGAGGTTTCTTGTTGAGGTTGTCCTCAGAGGTTCTTCCTTGGACTGTTACAAAGCTTTGTCCTCTTGAAAATATCATCTTCCTCCAAAAGCCCATATTAAGCACTTATGTGCACGTGGTGTTGTGCTGATCTCTATTTCTAGTGAGTCACACTGTCACAGGCTCTGCCCTCTGGGAAGAAAGTCTGGGATATTTGGCAGAGACTTTGAGACCCAATTTAGTTAAATACAGGGGTGACAGGAGGGGGCAAATGGTTTAAAACCTTCCCCAAGGCCATTGAATGATGACTCCCACCCCTCATTTCTCCTCCTCCCTTTCTCCCCCTTAATCTCTCTTTCCTCCTAGATTCCCACACATTTTCCCCAGCAATCAAATTTCAGATGAATTTAACATCCTTCCCCACCCCCAGGAAAATCTTTAGCTCACTGTAACACTTGATTTTAAATAAATGATAACATTAAACATGAATGATGTTGAAGATGTCTCTGAATACAACCATTGATTTATTTATTTCTACTTTTTTCATGTCTTAGATTTTTCCACTATCTTATAGCAAGGTATTCAAGAAACTAGACACCACAGAGGGAGAAGTCCTGACTTGTGTAAACATTCAACATGAAGGTCCTTGAAAAAGATAAGGACAGAGACCCGCATTGACTTTAAAAGGGCATGAAGCAATTCCCCTCCCCTCAGGAGTGAAAGAAACTGAACAAGACCACAAAATCAAAAGAATGTACTATCTCCCCAGTGCAGAGAGGCTCATTATTATCTTCCTGAAGTGCAGTGTTTGGTTTGTTTTCTGAAGCCATTTTAAAATGCAATCATTTTAATCACCAAGAAATCTTACACAGTTTGAGGTGTTTCATCAATCACTCCAGTCCCCCAGTTCTCCTTTCCATTTCACTTAGAAGACAAGACAGCACATGTGGCCACCTTAGCTATTTGACCAGCAAGAAGTTTACCTTTACCTTTGGCCCTCCCTGGGGTCCAACTACAGGCTCAAGCAAAGCCCTGCTATGTATGAGTCTAGAGTACTTGGACTTTCATATCCCTGGTGTCTTCTCAGAAGCTTTCTATGACACACAAAGCTGTCCTTGCCATGCCCTGTTTCCTGCCACCCCATCCACACAGACGGACATAGTCCTGTCTTCCGGAGTTTCTACTTTCACTGCACTAAATGAACATACAAACATATTTGCACTTGGCCTATTTAGTAAACTATAGGGAGGGAGTCAAGGCACTTCCCCTGGCCCTCAGGTAGTTTGTTCTACATTTTCCCAATAGGCCTTCTGAAGACAATGCCAGTAGAATGAGTAATGGGCACTTCGTTCATTAGGTTCCCCAAGGCAAGTAAAGAAGCAAGCCTCTGGGAGGGACTGCCCCTAAAGAACAAGTTGTGGTAATTATGAACAGCCAGCAGTGACTGTCTCAATCTTTAAAGGGGCTCATGGCTTTGTGACATAACCATCCTCCACTCCACCTCCATCCCAACTCAGCTCTAATCTTAATCTTAAGTGTAAACTATAATTTAAAATAAAGCAGTGTTCATGCTCCATGAATTCTCAACCTTTCTAATGCCACAGGGCTTTGCCAGGATGATTTTTTTTTCTTTTTTGCAGCCTACTGGCACCCAATAAGTAAAAAAGGACCTCAAGATGTGTCCAAAAGTGCTTTGATATCCATCCCACAAGACTAGAACCAGAAATATCTTAAGCCTTCCTGTGTTCCGGGGGCAGGGGGTATCTCTCACACTTAGGGTCAAGGACAATTTCAAACCTGCTTATCCAGGCGGAAATTGTCTGGCAGGGGCAAAGGGTGATAGGGCAAGCCACTTTGGCTTGCCAGAAAAAAATTGGGTTAGATGGGGATGGGGCTCCTGAAAGAAGCTAAAAGGGTTGAGGATGTGCCCAGGGTCTTGAGCTCGGCAGGTGGCGACACAGCCAAAGCTAGACTTTTATTATCACTAGAGCTATTCCTCCGGTGAAACCCACACCCAGGTCCCTCCCTTCCCGGACCTGACCAGCTGGATCACCTTGATCTTCTCTCCCTCGATTTCCACGGTCTTCTCCCTGAAGTCCACACCGATGGTGGCCTCAGTCTTCTCTGGGAAAGTACCCCCACAGAAACGGAAGGTCAAGCAGGTCTTGCCCACGTTGGAATCCCCAATCACGATGATTTTGAAGATGCGAATCTGCACGTACTGGTCCATTGATGAGTCGAGCTCCAGAGATGGCAAGCCAGCAGTTGAGGAGGGCTGCAGGCTCCCATGGCCCAGAATGGGCTGCGCCATCTCCCTGGGACAGGACCGGGGTCCCAACCCCACTCGAGGGCTCCACACAAAGAAAGCGGCCACGTTAGTGCGCTCAAAGCGAGAAAGCTTTGTGCGTGCGCGCGCGTGCGCGTGAGCGCGCGTGTGTGTGTGCACACGCAAGCTTGAGAGTGCGAGTATGGAAGTATGTGTCCGCCTGTGAGTGCATGCGCTAGCAACGTGTGCGCGCGCTTGTGAAGGGGGTGCTTTCACCCCAGGCACCCTCCTTCTTCCCCAGTGCACCGTCCTTGCAGCTGCAAGGCAAAGACACAAAAGCTTAAGAGAGAAGAAATAGAGAACGGTCCAGAGTTGAGCAGTCTCCTGCCTGTGTGTGAGCCCCAGGACCCCAGGCTCAGGCTGTACCGCGCCTTTGCATAGACCCTTCTCTTCTGGACCCCAGGGACACACAAGGGGAGAAAGCATTCTTTCCTAAACAGGGAAGGGATGAGGAGAGTGGCGCACACCACGCCAGGATAGCTTTCCCTTCTTGTCCCTAGTTCTGTGATGGGATTCAGGCTTCACGCCCCCACTTAACTTAGAAGGCATAGGGTCAGTGGGCAGTAAGCACAGCTGGGGAGGACAAAGAGAGCTGTACCCTAAGGCATCATTGGAGAGCTTCTGGTCCTGTGCAGCACTAGCGGGTGGAGGATCTGAGATATCCCTTTCATCTTCACAGCAGCTGAGAGCTGTGCCTCTGTGGTTCCCTGCCTCCCAAGTCTTAGGTGTTCAGCCTTACTGAGTAAGCAGGTGCGCTCTCTGGGCCCCAAGAAATTGGGGAGGGGCACTGCCAGGACACCAGGACACTCCGTGGCTTGTGGAGGGCCCCTATGCAAATGAAAGGAGGCAGACACCCGGCACCAGTTTGAGTGTGTAGGGGTGTTACTGTTTCTGTCAAAGACTTGCCAGATGTAGGGGGGCGCGTACCAGGCGCCAACCTCCCCTCATCACACCACGAGCACCCACCCTCTGAATGTTCAGGAGGGCGGCTCCCATTGGCGGCTACAGTCGGTTGTGTTTGGCTGGCCAATGGGGAAGACCAGCCGCAGGAGAGGACCATACAGAGGATAGGAGAGGGGGGAAAACTTAGTGAAGGACAGTTACAGGGAAGGAGGACTTTGTTTCTGTAGCTAACCATTACAGGCTTAGGTGGGCGAATTTAGGGCATGGCATAAACCTCATAATTCCTAGCACTCTGAGTCCTCCATAGAGCCATAAATTGTTCCAGGACTGCGGAGTTTCAAGGGGAACTGGAATCCCATAAAAGGTTCACCCACCCTCTGCAAATGAATGTAGAACAAAGTGGTTGGGTCTAATTTGCCAGAAGCCTAGATTATGCTTGGAAGATGATAAATGAATACAACTTTATCACGATGTTAGAGGGCAGCTCCCCAAAGCTTACTAACCATCCCACAACTAATCATCCCAAAAGTGATTTTCATGTTCAGATTTTGTATAAAATCAACTTAGGCACAATTTACATACAATAAAGAGCATCTATTTTTGTTTGCTTTAAGACTTTTCTTCTCTCCCTTATATTTCATAGGCTAAGGAAGTACTAATATATGCCATTAGTATCAACATATGTAAATGTCATCAAAGTCAAGGGATCCAGCAGCACACATGAACTACCATTTTGCATGTGAGGCTGATCTATAGGAAGAAACAATGTGATGAAATGCATTTCCACTAAGGAAAAAAAGAACAATGCAGTATCTGAGGTATGTGTGTGTAAGCATTTTGGAATGTGAGTGCTCAGCCAAGTTCAAGTTATTTAAAATACAGCCTTTTACATAATCTTATTCTTGAGTTAGGAGATGTATTTATAGCCCTTTATCATACATGTGGGTCACTTATTTCTAAAACCCATGATTATACCAGTTAACATTAAAACCATCCATATATGGAATTAACTAATCCAATACCATCATTATGTATACCAGCAACCATCACGGTACAGTACTTCTGTTTTTCAATTGACTGTTTTCTATATAACAGAAATTGCTTGATCATTTCTTTTAAAAACAACAAAAAGAAAAACCTGATGCTTCTAGTGATCTATACCCACAGAAGAGTACTGTAATAATAAGCTAGGAGGGATATATATATATATATATATATATATATATATTTCAGTTGCCTCTGGCAAAAATAATTATCACTGGGTCTACCTTTCTAAGTTTGAAGTTTTCATTTCTAGAAATATATTTCACAGTGTTTTTTTTTTTAATCCTAATGAAATGCTTTTGGAATTAGTTTAATGAGTATATTACTAGAATAAAATACAAGTTTTTTTAGGGGGTGGGAATTTTGTTGTTGTGTTTGTTTTTTGGTTTTTTGAGACAGGGTTTCTCTGTGTAGCCTTGGCTGTCCTGGGCTTGCTTTGTTTACCATCTCAAACAGAGATACACCTGCCTCTGCCTTCCCAAGTGTTGGGATTACAATCATATGTTACCACACCCGGCTGCAAAATACAGTTTTTAATTAAAAGGACAAGAGAATTGTCTCAATGTACCTATCACAAAAAATTATATGCATTTTTGCACTGGCTTTTAAAATTATGCATTATTAAATTATTTTAGCATATTCAGTTGTTTCATAATTGCACCTGGCTATTATAATTTTGATAGCATTTTCCAAAGCTTTCTTTATTAACAGATATGACTGACTTTGTATTAAACCAATTCATGTTTGTTATTAACCTTTATTATTAACTTGCTGCCATTGTTAAAAGATTGGATCTCACCGTGTTACTCCAAGTTGACCCTAAACTGCTGGGCTCAAGTATTCTCAGTTCCTGAGTGCATTGTGGGTTTCTAGAAATAACAAAGAGCAATATCTAGAATGTCTTTAAAATTAAAAAAAAAAGTATTTATTTTATTCTGGAATTGATACTTTCAATATTTATCCCCCAAAGCAGATTTATATAATAATAAAAACGTCATTTAAAACTCGATGGTGGTGGCACAGGCCTTTAGTCCCAGTACTCAGAAGGCAAATGCAGATGTATTTCTGTGAGTTTGAGGCCAGCCTGGTCTACAGAGTGAATTGCAGGACAGCCAGGGCTGTACAGAGAAATCCTGTCTCAAATACAAACAAACAAACAGTCACTCATGAGGGCTGGAGAGGTGGCTCAGTGGTTAAGAGCACTTGTTCTTGCAGATGCCTAGGGTTCAAATAGCAGCACTTAAATAGCCAATTGTGCATAACTTCAGTTCAAAGGGATCTGATGTTATGTACCACAAGGTATGCATGTAGTGCAGGCACACTTGCAAGCAAAACAGTCATACATATAAAATATATCTTTAAAATGGTATTCATTGGGCTTTAGAGATGGCTCATAGGTAAGAGCATTGTTCTTCCAAAGGTTTGAGTTCAATTCCTAGCAATTACATGGCGGCTCATAACCATCTATAAATGAGATCTGATGCCCTCTTCTGGCATGTACGTATACATGCAGGCAGAATATGGTATAAATAAACAGATAGATAGATAGATAGATAGATAGATAGATAGATAGATAGATAGATACAGCTTTTAAATTTCTTTTAAATGTTACTCATTGACTCATGCCTTTATTCTGAGCAGTTCTAGGAGGCAGAGGCAGGTAGATTTCTGTGAGTTAAAGGCCAGCTTGAGTTCTAGGACAGCCAGGGCTCTACATAGAGAAAACTTGTTTTGAAAAAAACAAAACAAAACAAACAAACCCAAATGTTACTCATTAGTTGTATTTTGGGGCTTTGGGAGCAGCTATCTTTTTGCCATGTGTTTTTGAGACAGGGTCTTTCTATGTACTCCTGGCTGGCTTCCAACTCATAGAAATCCCACTGTATCTGTCCCCCTAGTGCTGGGATTAAAAGCATATGCCACCACACCCAGCGTGGGTGTTTTTGTTTATTTTGTTTTGGTTTTGGTTGACTTGTTGTTTTGTTTTGTTTTGTTTTGTTTTGAGGCAAAGTCTTTTGAAGCCCAGGCTTTTCCAAAATTCACTAAATAGCTGCGGATGACTTCGAACTCCTGATCTTTCTACCTCCCATGTGCTGTCATTCCAGGTATGTGACACCATTTGTCTTCATTTCTTGCTACTTTAAACAGTGATCCATGGGAGTGGATGAAAGAGGGGGCTACAGCTGGGATACAAAGTGAATAAACTGTAATTAATAAAAATAAAATTTAAATTTAAAAAACACTGATCTAAGCTGCTGAATAGCTAATAAAACTTTAGATTTTTCATGCAATAAGTCTTGCTTCCTAGGTTAAATTTTCCTAAAATATGTCTTTGTAATTGCATCCCTTATCCCCTTTCACCAAGAAAAAAAAGGGGGGAGGGAATTTCATCACTTTCAAAGATTAGGGCCAAATTCATTTGACCATTTAAATTTGGCCCCATCACACTTACTGTCCGTACCATTACTTCCTATTACAGTATGTCTTCTGTCATTGTCTCCTGAAAATGTACTGAACTTTATTTTTGGGTTTTTTTATTATTTAAAACTTTGGAGCGGTGTTGTGTGTGGTGCTTCAAAGTAAATGGAGGATGGTGTAGTGTTTGGCAAACATTCTGCCTCTGAGCTATACTCCCAGCCTTAGGGTGTTCAGTTTTGAAAGTCTTTGTTGCTCAGGTTGGTCTCTAATTCCTGATTAGGTTCCATGTGCTGAGAAATTATAAGTTTCCATCCTTAATCCAACAGTCTCCAGGCCAGCTGAAGGAATTGGGTGACATGTCCAAGTAGCAGAGACATGCTTCAACCTAGGTCCCCATGGAGTCCATGTCAACATGCTTAAACCCTAAAAACATTATTTTTGGTCTCACTGCATTCACCTTCTGAAATACTGTTCTTTCTTTTCCACTATTTAAAAACTACTGCTCATCTTTCAAGACAGATCAAGTAACCCTCTCATATTAAGTTCTCCTCTAGCGATTCCATCCCAAACTCCTCTCTTACAGTGGATCTGTGGTAGATACCATTTAAATTACCAATAGATCCCATTTCCTCAGCTAAACATTGATCATTTTTCCATACTTTTCATGTCCACAAAAGCCTCTTATACAGTACTGTTCAAAAGCAATGGTGTTGGTATAATGTTCAACTAAAAGATAAATTTATAATAAATATTGATAATTAGCAACAAATGGTACCCAACATGGAGCAGAATTTACAGT